TCAGAGGGAGAAGCAGGCTCCCCGCCGAGCGGGGAGCCCGATGCGGGACTCGATCCCAGGACCCTGGGATCATGACCTGAGTCGAAGGCAGATGCCCAACCATCTGAGCCACCCAGGCGCCCCCCCCCCCATTTTTTCTATAGCACTTCTCACCACTGGTCCTATATGTTCAGTGTCTTTTTCTCCTATCAGGAATGTCAACTGAGCTCAGGGTTTTATTTTGGTCATTCCTGTAGTCCCACACCTAGACAAGCTGGCATAGGTAGAGCTTAGTAAATACGTGCTTGAAGACTGTATAGATGCTGGGTTAAGAACCAATTTTTTCCTGACAACTATTGACTTTAACTTTATTATGCTTTTTTTTCCTACAGTATGACCCTAACATTTCCTACTCCCGTATTTCCACTCAATCCAGATTTTCTAATTAGGCCACTACTCACTTTAGAAAGATAATTTGGGCTTCTAGAAATAAACATAAAATAAAAACTAAATTCTTATTTGCCAAAGCAAAGGATAAACAAGCACAATAAAAATGCTGATACTGTTTTCAAAGGCAAATATTAAGGACTGTGTAGTAAACTGAATTGTGTACTTAGCCAGATTCTTTGAACTTTCAGGTTTTAATGTAACAAATCTACCTATAAAGATCTATGGAGATTTCAGATTAGATAATGAGTAGTACTTTATGACTAAAGCACATATACTTAGTTAAGATGAAGTTTTTTCTTTTCTCTTTTGCAGATTAATGACTGCAGAAAGTGAGATCAGATTTGTCCACAAAGAGATGGGTATAATACCAAGCTGGGGCGGTGCTGCCCGACTAGTTGAAATCATTGGCAGTAGGCAGGCTCTCAAAGTGTTAAGTGGGGCCCTCAAACTGGATTCAAAAAAAGCTTTAAACATAGGAATGGTTGAAGAGGTCTTGCAGTCTTCAGATGAAACTGCATGTCTGGGAGAGGCACAAGAGTGGCTAAAGCAGTTTATCAGAGGGCCACCGGAAGTAATTAGAGCTTTGAAAAGATCTGTTTCTTCAGGCAAAGAGCTTTGTTTAGAGGAAGCATTACAGACTGAAAAAGATCTTGTAGGAACAGTTTGGGGTGGACCTGCAAATAAAGAGGCTATTGCTAGGAAAGGAAAATTTAATAAATAGTTTTAAAAACATACAATGTGTAAAACTCCAATGATTAACCTTTATAAAAGTTAAATGCCAGAATTACTTTGAAGGCTACACTAGTATTTGTTTTTAATCGTTTTTTGAATAGCTGAACTCATCAAGTAATCTGAAACATTTAGCTAAAATATGCAACACTTTTGGCTTAAAAGTTATCAATCCCCACAGTAGTTCTTACCCTATAACCAACCCCAATTTTTAAAAGGAAAAACCTTTCCACAAAACCTATTCCTGGGTTGTTGTCCTACCTGGAAATAATTTACAAAAATAACTTAATGAAACTTGCCCTAAAGAACAAAAATGGAGAGGGGTCACGGACAAGATAAGAAAAGCTATATGATCAGTCATTTTCTTCTGCTCTAAGCAGCTGGGGGGTAGATTTGGGGAGGGGGCGCCTGGCTGGGTCAGTTGGTATGGAGCATGTGATTCTTGATCTTGGGGTTGTGAGTTCAAGCCTCACACTGGATGTAGAGATTACTTAAAAATAAATGAAAAATAAAAAATCTTTAAAAAAGAATTGGTGAATGGCTCTTCTTTTATTCCTCCTTTATTTTTTTTATGGTTCTTTTGAATAAAAATGCTTCCCACCTTACCCTCCTACAAATTTGGTCTTATTTGATATTTTAATAGTTTTCTTTACTCTCTACTAAACAATAGACATCATGTGGAAAGTCTACTGACTCTACAAAATTGGCCATTATGTGTGTGCCCTGGGATTTCCAAACTAGTAGTAAGTACTACTTTACTACTGTTTACATAGTAATAAAATTTAACTTTACATCAAAACTTCCTAAGATGTCAGAGGGACTCATGAAGCATCCTGTAACATTTGCATATGTTAAAGTAGCTAACCTTTCTTTTCCGTAACTAGCTATATTTTAAAAGTAGACAATACAAATGCACAACTCAAACTTTCATGATCATCTCTGTAATACAGGCTTTAAAAAACATGTAAGTCAAAGAATTAACTCCCAATTCTAACCTATCACAACAAGAGATAAAAGATAATTTCAAAGTAGTGACACTTTTTATTTGCTATGGTAACATTCAAGTCACATTTGAAAAACATACTAAAAATAACTTGCGTATGCTTCAACACGATCCTACTGTTTTGAATTAAAATATAGTAAGACAAACTCACATTACCATTTTTCAGATCCCAATTCTGGATTACCAGGTTAACCCAAGACTTCCTATTTTGTCACAGATTCTACATTTTGTGTGAAGTAAATTTGTATCTACTAATGCTGTTTAAAATAAGCCTACCCATTTAATTCATTAGTATCAGACCACTAATGAAGACTGGCAATGAACATCTAAATACATATATGGTCTCTACTATTAGTTATGTAAGAAATTTAAGTCTCACGAGCTTTAGGTTTATTTCCATACATACTTATTCCATGCAATTGCTTGTAGATTCTGTTTAAATAGTCTCTGAAAAAAATCAAACTTTCCTGAGCAGGTGACTAAGCTGAATACAACCAGTTCAAACCGCTACCTGTTTATTTTGGCCACAAATGTCAAAATGTTTCCATCCTCTTTCCAGACTCAAACAACAGACAAATTATTTTTGATAAACTCTAGTATTTATTAAATTATAAATTCTGTAATCAAAAAGAAAAATGCAGATCAAGAGAAACCTCAAACTACAAGGACTAGACAGCAAAGCCTATGGGAAACACCATGAAGTATGTTACAGACAAGATTCTGAAACGTGAGTTATTAGCTGTTTTCTTCACATCTCTATTTCAGTAACTTTACTATTTAATAGTTGTTATTCATCTATTTTAAAATCCCAGATTCACATCTATTCTCACATTAAGCTTCCTGTTCATACCAATACAAGACATCTCATAGGTGCCAAATTTTAGTAATGGTTTTACGTCAATCCATGCAGAAAAATAAGACACAATGCAAGAGTCAGATGAGGACTGTTAATGCACAGGTAATACACACACGCTGGCCAAAAGAACTGAACAAATTTAAAAAAACTGTAAAATAAACAGACATCAAGAAAACGGGGTTATTACTAAACAGCTCTCAACTATTAACGCCAAGTTCCTTATATTAAATAAATTCCTCAACAGAGACATGTTAGACATTTTAATTTACAGGTCTGTCTTCCCCCTTTTCCCACCCCAACTCCCAAAAATGCACTACCAGGGATGAGTATAATGTTATGAGGGCAGAAATCTACAGATAACCATTTTAACTTTGAGCATGGAGCTGAAGACTTTTTAATTTAAACTTCAGTTACTGTGCACTGTCCATCAGGCCTTCTAGATCTGACACCAGCATCCACTGTTCCACCCCCTGCTACTGATCGATCAGTTCCTGATCGATCTGATAGATCAGATACTGTCTGGTTTGCATTAGGAACCAAAAGTCTCTGTTGGGACAAGGAGTGTTGTGCAACAAGCGCAGATACATCCTCACCATCACTACTGGCGTCTGATTCGGTTTCTTCAATGGACGCGTCTGGTGCCGGTAGCCTGCCTGAAGATGGTGACTCATGATCTTCTTCTCCTTCCCCCCTATGACTCCTTTCAGCGATGCTGTCTCCACTGAGTTGCAAATGAGCAAAAGAGTCTTCCAGAGAAGTGCTTGCATCAGGGGATGGTGTTGCAGGGCTTGTTAACTGACCATCTACTGATGTCAGGGGCCTTACGGAAGACACTAGAGGCTGAACGGAAGAAGCTCCACTCTGTGCGGAGACACTGTCTGCTCCGTCAGCAGAGCTCTCGCGCGTGAGGTTTACAGTATTAGCATCACAGTCCAGCCTAAGTCCAGCTACTCCCTTCTTTGGTATATCTATTATATCCCGCTTAATCTTCCTGCGACGTCCATGTTCATTTCTCCTGTACTGAACCATATTTTCAAGATCAGCAACATACAGAAACCCGGCAATTAACATTTCAGTGCTCTTTTTACCTTTGGAAAAAGCATCTTCCAGCTCTCTACTAGTGCGCTCATCGTACTGCCACCACCCATTTCTTCCTTCATAATACCATGCATATTCACCATTTCCTCTACTCGCAGCCTTGAGTTCTTCTGGTGACAATAAGGTTGGCTTGTCAAGGAAATCTTCAGGAATTTCTTGTCGACAGAGGGCACATCGCTTTCCAAGCCATGAAGCTCCCTTTACACACAGATAGCAGAAAACATGCTTACAAGGCAGACTGACTGGGTGAACACATGTTTGCAGACAAATGGCACATTCAGGGACAGTTAGAGAAGGTGCAGTATTCGCACAGGACTCATTCGCTTTCCTGTTCGTAGGAAGCATGTTTATTGAATGATCAATTTCACCACAGCCAGCCATCCTAAGAAAATAAAATACATATAATATTAAAACTATTTCAATTCTTCCAATATCTTAATTCAACAACTCAGATTATTATTAAGCACCTATTATATATGTGTGCTACACAGTGGACTATGTGAAAGCAAAAATGAAAGCCCACCTGCTTATGGGGAAGATTGACATTAACAAAATAAACACACAGTTACACATAAATGTAACTGTGCAATTCTGATTAAGTGCTAGGAATGAGAAGTACATGGCAGTAAGCCCTAGATCTAGATTTCTAATGGTCTATTTTAGATTTCTTCCTGGATGTCTTGAGGGCAAAAAAAAAAAAACTTAAGTCATAATCTGTTTCTTCTTTACTCCCTAAAAGCTACCCACCCCCAATGACACCATTATCCATCTGCTTTTTCAAGCCAGAAATCCATCACTGAAATAGCCCTTCTCCTACTCCTTGTATCCAAAACATCAGCAAGTCTTATCAATTTTATCCTAAGTATCTCCTGAATCCACCTACATTTCTACCCTTCCCTAGCCACCAAGTAAATGCTGTTTATTGAATTACTGAATATGCCTCTTAATTGGTCTAGCCTTACCTCTTGCTTCAAAAGTTGATTTCAGGATAAAGACTAGGATCTGTAAGCCCTGCAATGGTCCTGCCTCCCACCTCCCACACCAGCCTCATCTCTATCAGACTTCCCTTTCCTTTTTTTTTTTTTTTTAAAGATTTTATCTATTTATTTGACAGAGAGAGACACAGCGAGAGAGGAACACAAGCAGGGGGAGTGGGAGAGGGAGAAGCAGGCTTCCCACCGAGCAGGGAGCCCGATGCGGGGCTTGATCCCAGGACTCTGGGATCATGACGAGCCGAAGGCAGCCGCTTGACCAGCTGGAGCCACCCAGGCGCCCCAAGACTTCCCTTTCCCTTGATCAGGCTTCCAACTACACTGGCCACTCCCTTCAATAGGTTTTCTCTGTATGAACAGTTCTTCACTTCCTGCCTTCCACATCCCCCATGGACAAATTACTACCCATCTTATATCCCTCTTGAGAAAGTCTCCATGACTAGGTCAAATCACCCTATTTTTTTTTTTTTTTTTAATTTCTTACTACCATGTACTTCTCATTCCTAGCACTTATTAGAATTGCACTGTTACATTTATGTGTGTGTTTATTTTGTTAATGTCAGGCTTCCCCATAAACAGGTGGGCTTTGTAAAGGCAAGAAACAGATCACTTTGGCTCGTCTCCGTACTCTCATACAAGACCTGGCAGATAGAGAACAGTCAAATATTTAGCTAAGAAAATGAGTATGTTTTTCAATGAAGGATACAATATCATCAAAAAAATAGATGTTTTGAGTTTTATTTTACTTTTTTTTTTAAAGATTTTATTTATTAATAAATAAAGGGGGAGAGAGCACACATAAGCAGGGGGAGCGGCAGGCAGACGGAGAAGCAGGCTCCTCACTGAGCAGGAGCCCGATGCAGGGCTCAATCCCACCTGAGCTGAAGGCAGACGCTTAACCGACTGAGCCACCCAGGCGTCCCTTTATTTTACTTTAAATAACATTAACCATCTGGTTGACAAACTTTTTTTTAAAGAATTTACTTACACATACCTTGGGGATGTATAAAAATTCTGTCAGTGCACTTAAAGATCAGCCCTGAAGCAGCACACTGAAGACTATAATGATAAATTGCAGATGGCCAAGGGAGAAAAGATAACGTGAAATAAGGCAGCTATTATACAAGGAAACCACTGCTAGATAAGAAATCTAAAAACCTGAGTCACCCTCTCCCTTACTCTTCTGCACCCAGTTAAATCCATAGTCTCTAAATTTCCTTACCTACAAATCAGAGTTTATAAAACTTAGGTGAGAATAGCCAAAATACACAAAAAACAAAACAAAACAAAAATACCAAATGAAAACACTTTGTAATCACTAAAGCTCCACAAATGTTACAATCAGGTAAAAACAAGGGAGAAATGACATGAATACTGAGGCTGCCCTAAAGCAGAAGAAAGGGAAAGAAACGGACAAAATTTGTCCAACTGGATGGTACCGGGCTTAAACACTCACATAAATTTGTTCATTTCTGCCTTATTGAGTCAGATGAACATTTATTAAAAAAGTACCATATCCATATACAATACTGAGTATTGATGGATCTAAAGATACACACCTACTTTGTTAAATAAGGAAACATACATGCAAGCAAAACAGATAATCACAATATGGCCTAATTCCTACAGTAATGTGTTAGGATACTTATTAAAAGTAATAGAGAGAGGTGAGAAGATGGACATAGGCTAAAAGTATGGGGTGCAGAGGTGGCTGGGGAGTGGAAGAGATTGAGGTCAGAGCCATATACATGGCCCTGAGTCAAATAAGCAATGGAACAGCAAGAGATGAAGGTATAAAGGTAATCAGAAGCCAAATCATTGAAGTCTTTTTGTGCCTGCTAAAGAAGCATCTGATTTGATTTTATCCCATAGTATCAGGAAACCACAGATATTTTAAAAGGGCAGAAAATGATAGAGGAAGTGCACCAGTGATACGTAAATAGAGGTAAAGGTCTCACAGAGATTGGCAACCATTAATTAACTGCTGCTTAAAATGAATGACAATCTCTCTGTACCAGTTGATTCTGCTGTTTTAAACAAGGAATATTTAGAATTTAATCACCATAAGGATTTCTGCCATTTTCTAAGATCAAGCATTTAAAAATGGGTACAGTGGTTACAAAAGGTGTAGTCAGTAAAAAATGTTTACTATGCTCATCAAAACTTGAAAAACAGTCCTCTTAGGTTTTCATCACAGCATATCCAGTCCAACAATCCATTCTCTTACTGCTTTTTTCTGTGTCCCTGGTTCCTCAATAGACAAGGTTCAAAATGATAGCAAGTTTTGGAAAAGATTGTACTTACCTAGAAAAGGAAGTGGCACAGTCTCAGTGGAAAGAACTGATCACTATGCAGTACTTGATTTCCAAACTCTTTTTCAACCTTTAATTCCATTTCCAATCAATTCCTTTACCAGAAACTCTAAGTCACACAAACTAGTAAAGTACAACTTTTTCCCAACCTATGGTAAGTTCTACCAGATATGAACTCTTCATATGTGTTAGGCACTTAGAGGAGCCTCAAAGTATTTTGACATAAACCCTTGCCTTCAAAGATCTTGTAACTTAACAATCTAAGTTATAAGTGAAAGTGCTTGCTTCTCAACTGGTTAATCGATGCCGTCCACCTATTTCCCCTAAAAAGAACTGGCCATGCACAATACATTTTGTTAGGCTCCCCACAACTCATATGTATTTCTTAAATACAAAATCTTAGTACTTCCCAAAGTGACGAGAGACAGAATACCACGTATTTCAATTTACATTTGGCAAAAGATTCAGAATACTTTTGTCTGCTCCAGGTAACTTTACACTGTGGTAACAGTCTATGTATATTTCAATTCTGCCAAATATAAGCAGCTCGTAATATAGCTATAAGAGGTTTTTAAAAAATCACACACGGTGCTTCTGGGTCTTCAGCTTTCTCATCAGTAAAATGGGGATAATTCACGTTCGAATAAAAATTATTGTAAAGTGAATAAATTAAATGAAAGCATAAACCTGTATATGAAAGCCTCTTTTAATTCATCAGGTTCTACTGCTACATTTATTTTTATTTTTATTTATCTATTTATTTTTTAAAAAGATTTTATTTATTTGACAGAAACACAGCGAGAGAGGGAACACAAGCAGGGAGAGTGGGAGAGGGAGAAGCAGGCTTCCGGCAGAGCAGGGAGCCCGATGCGGGGCTTGATCCCTGGACCCTGGGATCATGACCTGAGCCAAAGGCAGACGCTTAACGACTGAGCCACCTAGGCGCCCCTTATTGCTACATTTAAACCTCAGTATAACTTTAACTTTTGGGAAGAAAAAGAACTAAATTAGCTACAGAATGGGAGAACAAGTAATATGTATATTCTTACATCCCTTTCCATTTAGGTTAAAGAAATTAGCTGTCAATGAAATTCTTGAAAATCTTTTGTATCTCCATATTTATTTAAAGCTCCAATTAAGAAGAAGAAAATAAGAAAGCCATCCATCCATTTTGATACTATTCATTAAGACAAAAATGGAGAAGGGCTAATGCTCATCAGTACTTGGGGAAAAGTAAAATCTAAGCTGAAAAAAGTCTGATGAATCACCTATACGTGGTTCTTAAGAGACATGAAAATGAATGAATGCCCAAATTAAACCTGTAGAGAGAACAGACAAAAGGCCCAAACACAGAACCTTGGATTATTTCAATATTTACTAATGAGGCAAAACAGCTTACAAAAGATGTTAAGAAGTGGTCAGAGAGATATGGGGAATAAAGAGACACCACCACCAAAAAAGCTACAAGGAAGACATTTGAAAAAAAGAAGAGTCAAGCAAGGAGAGGACTTAACAAAAGTTAACTATTAAACTCATGAAAATTTCCACTTTTATAGTGAAATGTATGGTGCAAAAGTTGTGAGCACCACACATAATCAGCTATTTTGATTTCCCAGAGACTGTCAAGCCTCCTATCAGTAACTTTTTACTCAGTCAAGACAACTTTCTTTCCCTATTCCCCCAAAGACTATTACACAACTTCTCCAACTTCTTAGTTTAGAGATATCCTGGACTCCTTTATCATTAAAAAATTAGGTAAGAGTGAATCCCTGAAATTTATCTTTATCTTCACTCTACCTTATCATCATTCCTCTTGGCTCAGGATGGGATAGTGCTAGTTGTTTTGAAAAGCTAACCCCTCAATTTCTGGTTAGTACCATCCCAATTCCCTCAAGATTTTGGTTAATATTCTCTATCCTTAAATTACAAAATCAACTGCCATGCTTAGTCTAATGATCTCTTTCAGTCTCAATACATTTGATCCTATTGCACTGAATGATAATGACCACCAACTCTTTTTCTAAAACTTTATACTATGCATTTCCATGATGGTACTCTCTCCCAATTCTCCTTTCTATTATATTGTTTTCTCTTTTCTCTATTTGCCCTTAAGTACCAGTATTCTTCACAAAGGCCCTGTGTGTGGCCCTATTTTCACAGTACATTCTATGTCTAGACAATTTACTGAGTCCTTCAGGTTAATAAATATACCACTGTGACTCCCAAAATCTAATATCCAGAACCATGCCAACTGTGTTTCCAATATGTATTCAAAGAATTAACCTCAATATTCTCCAAGAACCCAAAATCAAACAGGACTAAAACCAAAATTATCTGCTCCTAAACCTTCATTCCTCTTTCCTTTTTTTTTGAACTTGCATAAAACTTAGAGCCATCCTCAATACTCCCTTATTCCTTGGCCATTTCTCTTTTACGGACAGAAACTTCTTTAGAATGTGTCCCCTTCATTCCCAAAGCCTGTGATCCCAATTCTGGCTTCTTGGACACACTCTTGTACTAACCTCCTAAGTGGCCTCCCTGACTTCAGTCCTTTCTCCTCCTCATCCCTTTTTCTCAGTTTGTGTCTAATTAGTCTTCTCTCCAAGCTTCAATGGTTTTCTACTGCCTACATTATCTAATCCAAATTCCTAAGCACTGGCTTCCAAGTATATTGATATAGCCTTTAGAGTAAAACAGACTTAGCTAAAATCCTGGCTCCATCATTTATTCTCACTACACTGACCTAGAAGAGCATTTCCCAGATTTCTCCAAAAGTAAGAATCAGCTGATGTGCTCTACCCTGGAAATTTGCACGTATCTGTGTTACAGTCTAAAAAATCTGTGTTTTTAACAAGTGCCCCACGGGATTATTTTCAGAGAAATTTGGGAAACACTGACCTCGGGCAAATGACTTCATCTCTCTAATTCTGTTTCTTCACCAGTAAATGAGCTAACTACCATTTTTCACAGTGATTAATTTCAATAATCCAAATAAAATACCCAGTAAGTACCTAGCAATACAGCAGGTACTAAATATTCACTCCCTTTACCAACTCTGAAGTCTCTTTCTCCCTACCCCACTTTGCTACATGGGACTGCTCCCTGACTCCCCTAAGATGCCCTGATATTTAGGCAACTGTGCCCCTCCCTCATTACCTTGGCTTAAAAAATACTTCCTAATTTTCTCAACTTAGTAAAATTCTATTTATTCTTTAAGATCAAGCTAAAAGTTCTTCTCACTCTGAACCTTCAGATGGACTAAATCCTCTCAGTTCCAAAAGCATCTTATTGTTACCTCAGTATGGCATTTCTTCCACTATTTAATTAATAATTAATTATGTTTCACTTCCTAGACCATAGTCTAGTCCCTTGACGGCCAGCACCTATAATATTTAACCTACATATGTATATATATACACACACACATGGTTTTTTAAATATGGTTTTTAAAAGTCTATATATATATAGAGAGAGAGACTTTATACATATAACGGCAAATAACATATGAACAAGATTAAATAAAAGATATATTTGCCCCAATTTTAAAGAAAAATACATATAGGTTTCATTTTACTTTTATCAAATTCTCAACACTAAGAATGATATTGCCATACTTTTAGTATATAATTAAAGCATCATATTGAAAAGAAGACAGCAATAGTTACATGTCAAACTGAGAGAACATGTGAAATAGTATCTACAGGTTGGATAATGTTCATATTAACTTGGAAGAATACGGTGTTCATCATGTAAAAATATCTATCAAGAATAGAATGATGTTCAAAATGGGCACAATCATGGTAATGTAGTATTTTAAAGCATATTTCACAAAAACTAAATGATAGGAAAACACAACTGGTAAAACTGGGGGCTAGAGTGAATTCAGTATTAATTAAAATGCAATATACTAAATTTTTAAAAAATCAATTAATCTAGGGGCGCCTGGGTGGTGCAGCTGGTTAAGTGTCTGACTCTTGGTTTCAGCTCAGGCCGTGAGATCAAGCCCCACGTCAGGCTCTGAACTCAGTGCAGAGTCTGCTTAGGACTCTCTCTCTCCCTCTTTCTCTGCCCTTCCCTCCCCTGCACACTCTCTAAATAGATCTTTATTTTAAAAAATCAATTAATTTAAAAAACTTTAATTTAGTGAAACAAGCTTTTAATAATAAGTGTTTTTAAGTCCCATTAAGTCCCTCTTATTTATAAAAGGTGATATTGTCTGCCTAGTTTGGTTTTTAAGTAAGTTACTATGTAAAGAGAAAGTAGAACCTAGAAGATCTAAAAATCTTTCCAGTTTTTTACCCTACGGGAAAATTCTTTTGTCTTCAGTTTCACTGACTTTTATAGAAATTTTTCCTGGTAAGATTTCTGGATATCTATGTTAACAGTAATTTAACGTGAATAAAATTACTAACTCAATAAAACATCTAAAACAATACAAAACACTCATTTTGTGTAATTAGATCTAAATAAAACATATAACTTGGCTTACTGCATTTTATCAGTTCATTTAATTAACTGCATTTTTGGGACAAACCATGATGCCATACTTACATTTCTATTACAAATCCCACAGTTGTCTGGCACAAAAACAAAAGCTCATCTTCACCGGCAGTCAAACAGTGTGTGGTATTTTGTCTTCCACTGCTGGTTCATTCTGTGCTGCAAAAGAAGTTATTTCATCAACTTCTATACAGACTAATTAAGATCAATAAAATTGGTCAATTATGTATGACCCTTTAACAAAATTCAGTGGCAAATTTAGGTTAGAAATCACTAAATTTCAAGACAAGGATACCTGCTTTCACCACAGTACTGGAAGTGCTAGCTAGAGCAATTAGACTAGAAAAAGATATGAAAGTCATACAAAAAGGTAAGGAAGAAGTAAAACTATCTCTATTTTCTATATAGAAAATCCCAAGAATCCCCAAGAAAACTACTAGGGGTAATAAATTCAGCAAAGTTGCAGGTTACAAGCTCAATGTACAAATCAGCTGTGTTTCTACATCTAACAGTCAATAATCCAAAAAGGCAATCAAGAAAGCATTTTAGAGAATGCTCAAAAATTTCATTTATAATAGCATCTAAAAGAATAAAATGCCTAGGAATCAACTTAACCAAGGAGGGGAAAGACTTGTACACTGAAAACTATAAAACACTGCAGAAAGAAATTAAAGGAGAGCTAATTAAATGGAAAGACAACTGTTCATGGATTGGAAGACTGGAGATGACAATACTAAACAAAATGATCTATAGATTCAACATAATCCTTAGGCAAATTCCAACAGCCTTTTTTGCAGAAATGGAAAAGCCAATCCTCAAATTCGTATGAAACTGTGAAGGGCCTAAAATAATCCAAAACAATCTTGAAAAAGAACAAAGCTGAAGAACTCACACTTCGCGATTTCAAAATTTACTCAAAATTTACTACGAAGCTACAGTAATCAAGTCAGTGTGGTATTGGTACAAGAATAGGCGAATACACCAAAAGAAGAGACAGTCCAGAAATAAACCCTTACTTGTAGAGCCAACTGATTTTTTTTTTTTAAAGATTTTATTTATTTATTTGAGAGAGAGA